AAGACACGGTATGACCTCTCATGCTCCCAAAGTGCTGTCTAATACACACAAAGTTTGCAGACTATCAAGGATCAAAACCTCTACCAATCTACAACTAATTATAAAACTCTAAGCATATATAAGTAAATATTTCTAAGCATAAATGACAATCAACAATACTAACTCTAACAGTTTATATTTATAAGCCTTCATGTTTTTGCTGTGTTCCCGAACCTGTGTGTGTGAAGTATATGTTGAAATTAAAACAACTGAATAGAAAACATTTTATCTCGCTATAAGCACCAAAGTTTGGGACCAAGACCATTCCAGCTCTGTGGTTCCACTACCCAGACTCATTGTGTTATGAGCTACGAATTAAAGGATTTTTTTCTCTAAATGTAACTGCTTTTCATTTCAAATTTAAATTGCTGATGTTAATGTTAATCTTACACACCAGTAGACACACTCTTTCCAAATGGAGTTTCTACATTCATTTGTTTTCAGCCTTCCTGAAATGCAAAATGTTAACCCATTTGTCTGACAATAAGTAAATAATGATAAGCAAAAAAACAAGACATCCCTTTTATTAAGGATAAGAATACACAGCGTGCTGCATTTTCTGTGTAGAACATGCTCAGGTTCTCAAATTTCATTATCCATGTGTTTGATCAGTCACTCTAATGCCCTGTGTTTGCCTTTATTGTATGCAGGTCGTATTGGACGCAGCTACAGCGACAGATGTCTACAAATCCTCACTGGGCTGCTTGGACTCAAACAGGATCATATCACTTCTGGTAAAAACATCAGTTCCACAACCTCCCACATACAGTACAGTATACACACAAACAGCTTCATGCTGTCAGAACTGGTTTTTTACTCTTTCACCACACTTTTTGTCTCTCTACTCTCCTGCTACCCTTCTCAGCGGTGGTGCAGACAATGCGTGACCTGGTCTGGGTGTGTCCCCAGTGTAGCGACACTGTGTGCCTTGCACTGGATGGCTGCGAGGAAACACTGCAGGATATCCAGGTTAGATCCTGCCATACCTATATGCTGAGTGCAAGAAAAAACAATATCATGCCATAAATGAGTATGTGCTGTAGATGTCCTGTTTTGAAAATACAAATTGGCAAAAGTATTATCAGAAATAGACTTAACAGAAACTTTTTTTATTCTACAGGGCATTATCATGGTATTTTATTTTATATGCTGAAATTTAAATTTACTTTCATAATTCTGCAAAGTTATTTCAGTCTGTTGTAACGATATATTTCAGTTATGGTCAAGTTGGTGAACATAATCCCAAGCATCCATTAATAATTTATTTCATTTTCTCTATCCTCTTATATAGGGTATAGAGCACTGTGCAAAGTTCATGAGCCTCTCTTTCATATTTTGGTAGAAAACAGTGAACTAGGTTCTGCGCTTTATTGAAACGTGCAAACAAACACAGAAATATAGTAAATAAGGTAAAAACGGGGTTTGTATAATTCTAAGGAGCCTGAAAGTCAATATTTGGTGTAATCAGCTTTATTCTTCAACATGAGTCTTCAGGAATAGTTCTCCAGGCTTCTTTAGGAACATTTAAAGCTCTTCTTTGATGTTGGCTGTTCTCTACTTCAGTAATGTTAAGGTCTGGGCTCTGGGGAGACCCAGACATGTTTTTCTATTCAGGTATGTTTTTTGCTGGACTGGCATTGTGTTTGGGATCACTGTGGTGCCGAAAAATGAATCTGTTGCCAATCAGATGCTATTACACGATGGCTCTAAATCTGACGGTAATGTTCTGTCTTCATAAGTCCATCGGTTCTGACAAGATTTCCAACATCATTGGCTCAAATGTAGTCACAAACCTCCATTGTGCTTTACAGCTGTAGACTCTCACTGTTGTATCTCTCTCCTAATCTTCTCTGCGCATTTTGAAAATGATTTCAATCATACATTTCAAATTTCACTTGCCGTGTGTGAGTTTTTCCTTTTGGGGCACAAATGCGTTGGTTTAGAATGCGAAAGCACGTGTTTTGGTGCACAGTTGTGGGGCGTGACTAGGCAACAATGGTGGTTGCACCCACCTGTTCACCTCATATATTGTTTGATTAGTAGAAAGGTAGGGTGAGCATAAGGTGAAACTTTCAGTTGACTGCAGTTTGATACACAATTTGTTGCTGCAGTTTGGTGTAATAATTGGTGCAACAGTTGTATTTGTTTGTGGAGTCTGTGCATTTGGGTTTTTTTGGATCCCTTGTACTGACTTGTGGTTTGGACAGTGTAATGGTTAAATAAGTAGAACAAACAGCTCAGAAGTGCATTTTATTTGTTTACTGATGCACGTCTTCAGTACCCACGTTTAGCCTGCCACAGCCGTTGGTTATGGAGCAGCCACAATAAGACCTGTTGCCACTGATTGTCAGTCTAGTTATTGTGCAGTTTGTTCTTCAGCCTTTTCTTCCTCTTTACTTTCCTTTATAAAGGACTTTCTGAATGAGTCAACAATTAATGGATCAGTCAAAAGCCCAGATGCATCTCTCAGGTCCTATGTCTGGTCAGATCTGCTGCACTTCTACTTATGTCTTGACATTCAGATATTGTTCATCTGTCGTAGCTAGTTTTTAGGCCAACAACTTCTTTGTTTCATATAATTTTATGCTAATCAAGCTATCTTATCTTTAAACTCAATTTATGAAACATAGTTTAAAGTGAAGAAATGGGAACAAATTACGTGATTTTCTGGTCAGTGATTGCCTCCAAAGTATTTGAATTGATGCCAGGTTTCTTTTCATGCTAAGTGCAAGTGAAATTACCAGATTCCCCCAAGTAGATATATCCTAATGAGTTCCTATTGTTATTCTGCAACTCTGGTTTCTGGTAGTTGTATATGATTCACAGTAGGGCTGGGCCATATTATACCGTTCACGGTAATACCGGTATAATGTTAGGCAACGATAGGAAAATGAAATATCGCGATAGAATATGAGTAAAACGCGCATGCGCAGTGCCTTTGTTTTCATACGCACATGGCCGATTGTTGAGTGAAACAGATGAACCAGAATTGGTTTGTAAAATGGTGCAACTTCAGTGATGTGGAACTGGTTTGGTGTTTGTCCGTCAGATAGACGACAAAGCACATTTCTTTGCAGAACATGCAAGCGGCCGTCGTTATTGTCGTATTTGTCGGACTAAGATGCTCTTAAATGTGGGAGTAATCTGGGTCCTAAACTCCGTATGCTTCTGGTCAAACGAACACTGCAGCATCACTGAGAGTTAAAAACTGTCTAAATTCTTTCATCTTTAATAAAACGATCAGCATTGCTGCTTTACCAGGTGTAACTATGAAGTTTAACTTCCAGGCATCCATGAAAACAAAATATATTACATTTAACGGAGTTAGAAGTTAGCAGGAAGCTAGTGGAAGTTAGCTCGCTAGTTACCTAAGCATGATATTGCATGTTCTGACTGAGACATTTCTGAAAAAATTCAAACGTACAGCTCTGCTATCACTTCCAACATAAATGAAGACAGGAAACTAAACAGCAGTGATGTTTGTAGGGTTACTGAAGTTGGGCTAGTTGGTATATAATGATGTGCTACGTGATCGCTAGCGACACAGCTATGTTAGCATAACATAAACAGTGAAGCTGGAGGACGAACACTAACACTTTTCCACTTATAAAAGTTAACGTTAAGGTTCCTGATAGTTAGAGACTAATGCAATCGCATGGCAGGATGCTGTAAACGGACCAAACTTCAGTCAGGAGAACAACTGAAATAATCCATCCACAATATGAGGTTAGTCATTAATATACTGCAACAACATGGGAATAGAGCAGCTGCCAGAGAATTCAACATTAATGAATCAATGGTACAGAAGTGGAGGAAGCAACAAGAATGAGTTTGATAAAGTTTGATTTATCTGACTGCTTTGTTTCGCTTAATGTGCCTTATAATCCCGTGCACCTTATGGTACGAAAAATACGTACTGCATACTGCAGTTTAATGTTGCAAAGCATCTCTTTTTAACTTCAGTGGATATTATACATGGTTATGCTCAGGATATGTCAGCCCATTTCTACTGGAAATGCCTTTTGGTTAAACTTTCAGCAAGGAATTTGCATTTGCACTGTTACATTTTCATAAAGCTTTAATGTACATAAAAACCAGCTTGTTTAAGTGAAAATAAATGGAAGGTTGTCTTTTTGCGCTAGTAATGTTGTGGAGTTGTATTTTGTCTCGCATCAATTATATCGTCAGTTATATCGTTATCGCAAATTTTCAAATATATATCGTGATAAATATTTTTGGCCATATCGCCCTGCTCTAATTTACAGTTGAAACTAATCCTTGTTAGCAGGGCACTAAGTTCATTTGTCTGAAACAAGCTGTTTTAATTTTTCATTACCTGTCCCATGTGCTTAATGCCAGAACCATGTAGCTGAGATAATCAGATTGAAAATATCTGCTCTCACTGCGCTGCTTGCGGCTGCTCTCTTATTCACACTGATGTATAGAAAAAAATCCTTGAAACTTTCTTTTAGACCGCTGAAATATCAAGGGGTGGCAAATGAAGTGAGATAGTCGCCATATGCTCCAATGTTATAATGGCAAACTTGGCAGGATTCTACAGCAGCCCAGTACAAGAACTTTTTTCTGTATAGTTTCCCCCATTATAACGACTGAACGCATTCTTTTGGAGTTGGGGGTGTAATAAATGCATGAAGTAGAAATGCAGATATATTTCAGAACTGTACTTTGGAGTAGAACTGACTTTTGAGGAGATAAAAACAAGCTTGGCACTGGGTAATTATACTACCAAGCATTTCTTGGTAGTTATATTGGACGACAGTGAACCCACTTCTGTTGACTAGACTTAGATCTAAATATTCCACTGCCTCCTTCACTAGGGCAGGCAGGCTTTGCTCTGGTTGCTGGGTGTGTATGGGGAGCGAATTTCCACTGCCCCCTACACTTTGGAAGTGCTCATCGATGGAGTGAGAAGCGAGGCTTCTCTGGGAATCAAGATGGAGCTGCTGACAGCCACCATGAGACTTTTCCTGTGTCGGCCTGCTGAGACACAAGACATGCTGGGAAGACTGCTGCACTACTGCATAGGTTTGTGTTTATGTGTGTGCACATATGTGTATACAGACAGATCATGATAAAAATAGAAAATTTTTTATGCCCTTGTGTTTTCCAGAGGAGGAGACAGACATGTGCGTGCGTGATCAGGCTCTTCTCTACTATCGCCTGCTTCATTGTGGGATAGAAAAGACACGCGAGGTCCTTCAAGGTCGGAGGTCAGATCCCTCTCTGGGTGTTCTGATTGGGCGTCCCGCCAAGCCTGTCAGCCAGTGGGCACGCTGCTTTAACACGTTGGAGCCTCTGAGCCAGGGTGCTGTAGAGGCCGAGTCAGACAGCAGGGGAAGCCCCGAACACGTGACCTATAACCCCAAGCCAAATGCCGACCTATCAGACACACTGAGCTGTAGTCACATTGAGGAGGTTCATTCAGGTGAGTCATGACACTGAAATCCTTCTACTTTGAAAATCTGATTGGCTGAATTTTGAAAGCTTGCCACTGACTAAATAGTCAGTGGCAAGCCTTGGCTGTGCTGTGCACAGCGCAAATGTTTTTCACATTTAAACAAAATGCCTGTTCTAAAATAAAAATCCAATGGAGTCTTAAAAACAAACTATTAAAATTACTTCCTTATAATGTTCATGCCAATTCACCATCAGGAAGACTTGCTGACAGAGACCAGCATATATTTAAACCAAAGAATTTGGTTATACAAATTTGTTCTGTTCAAACATTCCTTTCAGTTGAGTTTCCTGTGTCACCTCTTGCATAGAAAATAGGATTTAAAAATGCTAACGACTTATAATGAAGTTGGGTTTCTTTTATGAACTTTTTCTGAGGCATAATAATGACTCTGAAATGTTTTAATTGTCTTACATTTTCTTTTAAGATTACACTTAATGGATCGTCTACATTTTTAAATTCAGTTCTGTTTGTTTGGTGTTTGTGTGGCTGTGTGCCTGCTTTAGATCTACATAGTAAAGGACACGATTACTTCACTCAGGTGAAGCAGTGAGGGTTGTAGAAGATGCAAAGGCTTCCGTGTACACAACATAAATCGTTTAGTAAACCTGACTTGCTTCCTAGCAGATATTTCCAAATCATCTTGTCACCGTTGGACATTTGGGACAACCCTCAAATAAACAAGGCTAAGCTCTGTAAAACTTAACATTTTAGTCCTGAAGAATTACCATCATTAGGTCCTTAAGATTCATCCACCAGGACTGTGGATATTTTAAATCCGTATAAAGATTTGTTCCTATCCAGCTGACAGGTATTCCATTCACAGAAGCACACTGCTAGCGTCTGGACTCTGCAGGGTGGGGTTACAAAAATAAAGTAGATGTGAATTGTTTGCTTGTGTTATCTTTGTGAAGCAACAAGAACTCCCTTTTGAGGGTAAGAGGAGTCGTATCAACCTTTCAGCATGTCCACTACCTGAAGTTGATGTTGGAGGAAAGGCCACTAAAGCACTGTTCGGATATTCTATACTTTTAAATTAGTCGCCTGTGACAATTTTTAGCACCAGGATGAGTTTCTACCTAATTAAATGTTTGAAATGAGTCAGGGGCTAATACTTTGTCCAAATGAGCGATGGTGTAGTTCTTGGAAGGTTGGTTGGTTTCTGGCTTGTCAGGAATGTTGTTCTGGATGATGTCTTTCAAACTCCCATATGTTTGTTTTACCATGGGACAGTGTTTTTACATGTTGTGGCTAAAACATTCTTCTCCCCACTGCTGGAAAATAAATCTTACTTTTACAGAAGCCTTGGATTCTGTATGGCCACCTGCAGATTCTCAACCACACAACTTTCCATTTATGATTCTTCACTTTCTTTCTTTTAAATTGTTCTAATTAAAATTTTCTCTAAACAAATCATACAGGATTTTCCACACCTGTGTTTAGTGTGATTTTGTGGGTTTAATGTTTTACTGTCAAAGTTTAGGACGTTCCTCCTTATGCTGTTCCACGGCATTTAATATGTAAAAATGTGAGGGCAGAGTGAAGAACAGTTTGAAGCCATCTATGATGTCATAGTTGGGGAAGAGGTGCACTAAACCAATAGAAGAATAGTCTCTCACTAACAAGGGAAACATTCAAAGACCACGACAAGCTTGTGAGCCCAATCAACCACAATCAAAGCACACATATATCTGTCTAAGTTCACATTTTGATCACAGGAAAGTCGAGCTCATAGCCATAGTCACTGGGTGTGGGAGTATAGCTTTACTTATTGCATTACCGTTGTCACGGCTGCCG